GCTGCCGGGAGCCGCCGTCCCGGCTCGGGGCGAACCCTCCCCCGCGGAGCTTAATTTTTAACCCCGCTCGCATCGACGGGAGCGCACCCGGCGCCGCCTCTCCGGCGGCGGGCAAACAAAAGGGATAACGCGGCTTCTCCCCGCCTCGGGTCCCCGGCGCCGGGGCGGCCAGCACCGCTGCTCGCCGGTGTCCGTGGCTGACTTGGAAGGGGCGTCTGGCGGGGGAAGCAGCTGATAAAAATTCGCCTTTGCCGCGTGGAACGCTTGGGAGGCGTCAGAAGTCGCTCTCCGGTTGAGCCGCTGCGGTGCTAGACTTTGGTTCATCACCGTGACTGAGAACACCGGATTTTGGGGGTGGGTTGGTTGTTTTTTTTTTTTTAAGAATTGCATGACACGGTCTCTTCAGCGAAGCGGCTGCTGGAGCCTGCGGCAGGCGTTCGCCTCCTGCCCCGAGCGAGGTGCGAGGGGTCGGTAAGGTCCCGCCGGAGACCCCGCTTGCGCGGCTGCCCCACGGCTGGGCTGGTTTGATAGCCCTGGGGATGCACGTCCTTGCTTTCGGCTTACTGTTTTATTCAAGTTGACCGCCGCTGTCCGCCTGTAACGCAGTTTGCCCTTGTACAGTGAAACCGAAGCTGCTTTACATGCCGGGGAGAGAGGGAGAGGAAAGAAAGGGGGGCGAAAGGAGGCAGTGAAAATATTCTGTAGTAATTGGACTAAGTGGCAAACGCTTAATAGGATCCCTTTCCTCTGTGTGTGCATGTGTCACTGACAGACGTGTCAAAATACCTGCTGTGCCCATTGTGTATGTTAACAGACACCCTTGGCCTGCCAGCATCAAAGTTCGTTTCAGGTTTTCCGAGACATCTCTTGCAGCCCTCAGTCTAGTGGGTAGGGCACTGCAACTCTCGCACTACCTTCAGCATCGCAGGCAGGCTAATAGAGATGTTAGATTTTAATGGCAGTAAGGCTTCTGTAATTCTTAAAGTGCGACTCAATGATTTTTGCTGTGTTTTAACAAGTTCTGTGACTAAGAAAAGCAGCAGAGGTATTTTGGTGTGGCAGTGATTTAGTTCACCTTTATAATTTGGTTTGAGGCAGGTTTTTCTCTCTTACTGTCTGTCTTCATTTTTTTTTGCCGTGTTAATCATTCTGGCTTCCAGCACTGTGGAAAAACTTTCTTCATTTCAAAATGTAATGGAGACTGTTCAGTTCATGGGCTTTCATAGTGGATGTTTCAAGATTTATTGTTATTTAACCATCTATTACAAGAACCACCCCTGAAGTAGTGAGCTCTTCCAGAAAAATTACTTGCTTATTAGAAAATGATTCATGTCTGTCCTGAACAAGGCACTTCTCTTTCACCAACATCTATCTCGAGGCGTGAATGCCCATAGCAGGCAGGAAAATGTGTCTGTAAAGTGTTTTAGCGGCGTGGGGAGCCCCGGGGTAGCTGTCACTGTTTCCATTCTCTAAACAATTTTAATGCCATTAGCAAGTGTGATTATGTACAAACCGCTTTCTAGGGGGTTCCTAGGCTGGATATCAGAGCAGGGCTTTGTACTGAGTCAAAGGGTGGATTGAGTTTATGACACAGTTTAAATAGAAACAGAAGAGCAGTACTACAGTAGAGCAGCACGTCGTAATTCATTCAGTATCGTTTTGTGGTAGCTGTTCAGGGAAGTACTCGCTTTGTACCTGTTTGTTCGGTTTGAGAACATCTTTCAGGGTCACCTGTGAGTGAGTAGCTGAACATACAGAGTGTTAACCCTGTTTTTTGCAGCTTCTTGGTTTTTTTTTAAACAAAAAGGAAAAGAGAAAGGAAAAGGAAATAAAAGGCTAACTGGTAGGTCTCTCTTTAAATTTAGGCTACTTCTAAAATTCCTTCATCTTTCTGCATAACCATTTATTTTTTAAGGAGGAAGGATCTACACAGAAGAGGTACTATGCACTAATTTGGCATCTGGTTATAAATAAGACATATTTTTTCTATTTATTGCCGCCCAGAGCTGATTTAGTACCAGTTATGTCTCCAGATAAGACATAATTACAAAGATTTCAGTAAATGCTTTGGTTCGTGAGCACTGTTTAGCCCCTACGGTCAGGTATAAACTCACAACTTTATTATATTGTTAGGTTTTAATAGCATTTAATAAATAATAGAAAAGTTCTGTAATTGATAAGAAGGCTTTTTTTCATCCTATATCTCTCCAATGTGATCCTAGCACAGAAGCAGCAGGGGAGGGGTGTGGGGAGGCTTGCTCAGAGACATAAAGTGGAGTAAGTACCGCTTTACAGGGCACGGCACGGCACAGGCACAGATACCATCTTCAGAAGCCTTTTTTGGGGGACCAACTTGAGTCCCAGCTCCTGTCTTGTTCTCTTCATAGGGCGGCTGCCCTCTGCTGTCTAAAACTGCTTTTCCAGTGTTGGCGTTGCTGCAGCGGTGATGGTAGGGAGATGAGGGAGGGCAGGTTGCAGGGAGAGGTAATTTCTCTTCTCAGCCTGGGTGATGCTCTCCGAGGAAGCAGAGAAGTTGTTGGGTACAGTCCCTTCATCCAGTCGCTGTGCTGATGGGCACGAGGGAATCTTGCTGCTTGTGCAAATAACTGACAAGACGCTTCTAATTTTCCCCTGCCAGCTAAATAAACCAGCCAAAGGCCGGCATTGGTTCAGTTAGCATGAATGATTTTTAGATCCAAGAAGTGGCGTGAGTGGTGCAATTTAGACAAGAGATTCCATCTATCAAGAAAGCTTCAAATGTAATTTGTAGGAATAACTTTGGTGTGAAGCAGATGAGAGCAGACTGCTTATAAATACATGCTCTTAATGATGGGATCTGCTACCTGATGTACAGCATAACTGTGATTTAGTCTGTTCTCAGCTTCTAACTGGAAGACCAGTAAACATTTCTGTGTACAGTCCTCACTGTCACAAGTAGGACAATTAACAGTTGACTTATGCTAGTGTATATTGTCTTTGTGGTGATGGAGTGGTATCATTTGTCCCTGTTACCTTCTTTTTATCTTTTCCTAATCACTGTTGTACAATGAGCATATTTGATATACAGCAAGTTTTCCCTGGACCATCCTTATTCCAATGTGAGACTGTCTCTTTTCATAGTTTGCAAACCCCAGCCACATCCAATATTAATCTCTGCTGTGGAAGGAGCCAGAGGAGCTGATGGTTTTCCTTGAATACATAAGCAAGTATTTTCCAATTTTGGGACATTAAAAAATTATGCAATTCTGATTCATGTTTAAAATGGCCTGTATTTTCCAGCATGACTTGCCCGCTAGGTATAAAGCAACACATTCTATAGAGCTTAACCCTTCTGGAAAAAAATATGTCCCTTTAAAGATGTCCTGTTTGTTAATGAAAAAATTACCAAAAGAATGTCTGGTCATTTCTGGACGAGTCAGTACCTGCCTCTGTGGCATCAGTACCATCAGCTCTGTTCATCTACATCTGTTGTTTTGGAATGGAAATTTTTTGATAGCCTGCATGAGTCAATTGATATTTTGAACATTGTGTGCTTTAATTACAGCCTCCATTCCCAGAGAGGATGCTACCAACAATGGAAGAATCCAGGCCCAATATTTGAGTTGGACACCTTTGGACTTCAGCAGTCTGTAGCTTCTCAAGTCTTTTTTGGTTCAGCTTAGGGATGGAGTATTCCTACAAAAAGCGTTAGAGAGAAGGATTTTTCTTTTTTATTCTTAGATAGCTGTGGTGATCTCCTGCATGATTTGCTTTGGTTAACTCATTTGAGGTATGTCAGGAATGATCCTGCAGTTGTGATCAGTGTAACCTCAGCAGGGTTTTAAATATGTGTAAGCTCAACATAATTGTGAAGTTTTGTTTGAATAATCTTTGTATGAGGGAGATCCTGCCTGCCTTCCTGCGCAGGGCGCAATGCCTCCTGCAGCGATTCAGCTGTATGGCTAATTTTCAAATAAGCTGAAGTTACACATTTTCTTGACACAGTACTAGAGCACGCTGTTCTCTGCAGTCTGAGGCTCTCTGCCTGTGGTTCACAAACACATTTACAGTCTCATTCGCCTCCCTGAGCTCAGAGGGGGTTGGTTTGCATTTCTAATTAATTGAGTTTATAAAGGAATAAGCCAGTATGTTAAATGAAAATTCCCTCGAGAATTGTAAACTTACTTGATTAGCTGCCCTCGTATAATCTTATCGCCCTTTCTCATGTAAGCCTAGGGGAGAGCGAATGCTACGTGAAGCAGAAACCTTCCTCTGGTATGAGTTGCAAGGGGAAGCGAGTCTTCCATGCGGTCATGTTCTGCAACCCAGCTCCTGTTCAGGTTACCTTCTTTGTCCACCTGCCTGTTCCTGCCATCAGCTTGATGTCTCTGGCTAAGACAGCAAACAGTATGAAGTGATTTAAGGATGTCTCTCAGTGGAGTCAGAGAGTAGGTGGGAGCTTTCAGAGAATACTGTAATCTAGCTGAAGACAGACACATTCACTCTTTGCAGGAGCTGTGGTTTCTGAATGCAGGAATTTACACAGGGTCTGAATTTTCCTTACGCCGTTTGAAGACAAATACCATAACTTCCCACTGAAGTCAGCTGGGAGTTGGTGGCTCAGCACACCCAAGGGTTAAATGCCCTGTGTTTCAGTGTTAACCTGGGACACTTGTTTCAAGATACAGGTTAAGGCATTAGTTTATTACTGAGAAATCTAAGTACTTGATGATAGTTGGCTCCATTCAAATTGCTTGACCCTTATTATATTATACTTGGTTAGAAAGCCATTACTTAGCAAGGTAGATTAATCTTGCAACATGTTTGGGTGAGTAACTGGACTTCCTTTTGCTTTCCACAGACCGGCATTCAGAATGGCAGGCTTGTCCACTTTAATCCTCCTTTTGTGTGCTGCTAAAGATGCGATGCCCTCCAGTTCTCACTGGAAGCCAACTTGGCCATCTTACAGAGTTCCAGTTATCCTGCCACAGTCTACTCTTAACTTGGACAAACCGCAGTTTGATGCTGAAGCCAGACTGGAAGTGGTATCTCCCTGTGGCCCAGCGTGCCACAAAAGTTCTCCGCTGCCAACTTATGAAGAAGTGAAGAACTACCTGTCCTACGAAACCTTGTACGCTAATGGTAGCCTCACTGAAACTGAAGTGGGCATATATATTTTGAGCAACGGCGGTGATGGCTCTCAAGGCAAATCTCGAACTAAGAGGCAGATCTATGGCTATGACAGCAGGTTTAGCATTTTTGGGAAAGACTTCTTGTTGAATTACCCATTCTCCACATCAGTGAAGCTATCTACAGGTTGCACGGGGACGCTGGTGGCTGAAAAGCACGTTCTTACTGCCGCTCATTGTATCCATGATGGCAAGAGTTATGTCAAAGGAGCTCAGAAACTGCGGGTGGGGTTCCTAAAGCCCAAACTGAAAGATGGCAGCAAAGGGGCCAATATCACCAACTCGGCAATGCCTGAGAAAATGAAATTCCAGTGGATCCGAGTGAAACGGACACATGTCCCCAAAGGATGGATCAAAGGCAATGCCAATGACATTGGTATGGATTATGACTATGCCCTGCTGGAGCTGAAGAAGCCTCATAAAAGAAAGTTTATGAAGATAGGTGTGAGCCCACCAGCAAGACACTTGCCTGGAGGGAGGATTCACTTCTCTGGCTATGACAATGATCGTCCAGGAAACCTGGTTTACCGTTTCTGTGATGTCAAAGATGAAACATATGACCTGTTGTACCAGCAGTGCGATGCCCAGCCAGGTGCGAGTGGATCTGGGGTGTACGTGAGGATGTGGAAGAGGCAGAATCACAAATGGGAGCGTAAAATTATTGGAATATTTTCAGGCCATCAGTGGGTGGACATGAATGGCACCCCTCAGGATTTCAATGTAGCTGTTCGCATCACACCCCTCAAATACGCACAGATCTGTTACTGGATCAAAGGCAACTACCTTGACTGCAGGGAAGGATAAAGACAATGAAACTCCTTGAAAGCACTTAATGACTGGTTTTAATTACTCATCTGAGGAAAGGCAAGACTTCTGCTGCAAATGTGTGTGATACGATCTTGTAACATCAGGAAGTGATCTATAGCTTTTCAAGCAAGCCACCTGGTTCTTAGGACAGGGGCTGTGTGGTGCTGTCATTACAGCTTGAAACTGGGGAGGAAGGAACGTCTGCTGGGTGGGGAAGGAGCAGGTGGACTTGCTGAATTTGCAGCTGAGCAACTGAAGATTAATTAGGGGCGGATCAGTAAACAGTACGAAATCAGAACCGTCTCCAAAGAATCTTATAAAAGGGACGCTGTTGACTATCTCATGCCTACAATGTTTGTTTTAATAAATCCTAGGATTAGTAGAAATGCTTTGATCTGAACTTTTAAAAGAAAACATTTCTGTGCTGTTGGGGGCTGAAGGGGGGCATTTAATGGTGTTTGCAACCCAAACATTACAGCTTTGTGTTCCTGCATGAGAAAGGGAGTGTGAAAAGGGCAAGGCATGCGCTGTGGGAGATGAATGCCACACAAATAGCGTGAAGGGTAAATAACTGCATAACACTTCTAACCTTCTTTCAGCCTGAGTGATTTGAGACTTTATTAGTAACATAGTTAAGAAAAATGCTTTTTAAGCAAACAGACCTTGATGCTGCAAAGACTTGACTGTGAAGATGATGTTGGTCGTAGGAGCAGTGCCGTTGCATTCTGCTCTGGGAAACACAAATCATACATGGGCTTAAATCTTTACAGCAGCTGGGGCATAGTCTTACACCTAGCAGGATCCCTATGAATATACTATCATAGAAAGCGCATGGGGACAGAGGCTTGTTTTCTGTTATGACCTACTTACATCTTTTAAGGAAAATCTCATGTCAGCAACGCAGATTTTCAGAGGGGAAGCCTGTCTTTGGTCTTGCTGGCCATCTGAATTGCTGCCTGCAAAGCAGGTAAAAGGGAGAGCAGGACAAGGGTGCTACTGAGTTTTCACCCTTTTTGTTGTAGATCCACGCTGTTCTACCTAAAAATACACCAGGTAGAGGGACCCTGGAGTTATAAGTGTGTCTCTATCATATCCCTTTGACAGTGTAATTTGTACGGCATCTTGACTTCTGTTTCTTGTGTTGTTTGCGGCAGGGATCCCGCCCTCCTGTCAAACTGTTGAGTTACAAATAATTCTTGGCAAATGCATGGTTTGATAATTCTACAGCTGGAATAGAGCCACATTATAGGATGTATTTTGAGTTTGCTATGAAGTGATGTTCTGCTGTCTCTTGCAGATAACAGTGACATTTTTACTGTAGCAGAATTGGACTTTAAAACAAGAACTGTCTTTATAGGGAAAATCAGTGCAGCTAAATACTTGTAGCTTGGCAGACAGCACTGGGAAGTCAATGTGGTCTGTACAAACAATGTTTCTCAGGTGTATTGTGCCACCGTATTGCAGTAACATGGTTAAGTACATGCTGCCATGCCAAGACTATTTTAAATAGGAGGATAGTCACTGGCTCTAGTTCCAGTTTCTCTTCCACCCATCCATCTCTCACTGTCTCCTGAAGCTTACCAAGTTGCCCATGGCGCTTAGTGTTGTGGGGCAAATGCAAGTCCCTGGTGTGAAATGGGAAGGAATGAATCTAAGCAGAGCTTCCCTGTGCTATACAAATACAAAGAAAATGTTAATTCAGCTAAGCCTTTCTTACACTCTGCTAATTACTATGGCATTTGTAAACATATGCCTGATGGTGCTTTATCTTTGTGATAGCTTTGGCTCTAGTTCTGAAAAACATTTTTTGCTAGAGCTGCCTATGATTATTATTTTTATAGGTGTAGCATACAAAAACATGGACCCTCATGTGGGCTTTTGGTGCACTCAGATACAAGCAGTTATTAATGCTTTGAAATATGAATAATCACCATATGTATCTGATGGTCTTTTTCTGCCTTTTTATTTTAATTTCCTTTACTCTATGGCTGTTATCTGGAGCACTTTTGTTTGAATGTATCACAGTGAATAAAGAAAAGTTATGGAATTTCAATGCAGACGTTCTTGTATTTGTACTCTACTTGGGTTGCACTTTCAGTTTCATTTCAGTTACTTATTTGTAAAGATGTTCAGATACAGAACAGATTTATTAATATCCTCAGTGCTGTTTATTTTCCTTCAATTTTCTTTTGTCCTCACCTGTTACAAGTGTTTTTTTGTTTGGTGGTTTTTTTTTTCCCCAGTAGGCTTAATTACCCTTTGTCTTTGGACGGTAATAATCAATCTTAGCTTTTCTATGATTGTTGCAGTTCCAAAGCCAGTCATGAGCTCAGATTAGTTAAAGCTGAAAATAACCTATTAGACTAAAGAGTCACATTTTTTTTATTAACTTCAGGGTCAGTAAACTATGGAGGAATTTGAACTAGTCAGTCTAAGGTCATAAATCAGGTCTGTCTTCTTTTTCTTTTAGTTGATACAATAAGAAAAAAGTTCCTCTGAAGCCAACAGTGAGACCCACAGTTTTTTGAGGAACACTGGAGTGCAGAAATGTTCTACTTTTTGATTTGGGAATTGCTGTCCATACACCTTTCCCGATTTCTGGATGTGCACGCTACAATGTGGGCTTGAGAACGTCAGTCCTGGCTTATGGGGCATATTTCCCATCCATCGTCATATGTTCTCAACTGCTTCGTTGGACTGTAAACTGAGATTTTTTTATTCTCTTGAGATGACTGGCAGAGTGGAGTTGTGCAGAAGGCAAATGAGCTTGAGTAATGTGAGCAAGTTGGGTTTTTTTAAAATAATCTATGCAGCAAGTTTAGTGTAATCGGGAGTGGGAGACTCTCTTTCTACTGTACACCCTATGCAAACATTCCAGATTGTTTTTGGAAAGAAAAGGCAAGCTCAGATAACATGGGCAGAATTGTTGTACTACACGTTGTTTCACCTTGGCCCACCTGAGTTAATGCTAATTTTGCCAGTGTATTCATTCAGAGCGGGGTTGGGCCATTGCTAGGCAGGTTTGGAAACTGCATTCTGAGTATATTTGCTTTGATGCTGTAAACAGCTCTCTTAAAACCAGACCTTTAAACCATCAGAAAGATAGCCATGCAGCCGACATATAGTTCATCAAGGAAACACGAGTAACTAAACTATATACAGGCATGACACTAGCAATTTTATTGTCCAACTGATCGTCACTGCTGATAGTCTGCAGAACTGAATCAAATGCCTCTGTTCTTGTGTCTTAAAGCAGGACAGCAGATGGGTATAGAGGGGCTGTTTCGGTTGAGAGTGGAAAGGATTACAATATTCCACTCCTGCATCTTTAAGAGTCTGACATATGAAAAATTCTAGTTAATGTGGTATAACTCCCTTGAAGAACAGTGCTGGAGATGGAAACTGAGGTCTCGAGAAAGCACAGACCATGCCGAGCTCTTCCAGAGCACACGGTGAACTTAGCCTGCTGAGGACTGCAGAATATCATCGAGTTTCTTTCTCAGAGGAAAGGTATTCTCCTTGCATCTGTAATTGTTTTGCAACTGAATTCCCAGGCCTGCCTGTTTAGAGGGCAGCCCTCGTCTTAAAGTTGCACGCTGAACTCCAAGCAAGTATAATACATGCTTGAAATTCTTTTCCGTGTTTCCACTTAATCTGCCATTTGTTAGTGGGTTTTGGTAGCGTGCCAACGCAATATGCACAGGCCTTGAGAAGAGAAGCTTTCAAAGGGTGGATAAAGTATGATGGGTGGGTAAAGACTTCTTTGCTTTCCTGGAGTAAAAAGGAAGCGTGGACAGAGAAGTGCAGCAAAGAATGAAAGGGCAGTATGATTTGTACCACGGGAGCAAGATTCCTAGTGAATCGGTTGCTGTGTATATATGCACATGTATGGATGTGCATGTGTGTAGGGTTTTGATGAATAATACTGTTCATTTCCACTCCCTGTTCTACTAGGTATAAAAGAAAAACTTACGAGCTGAATAAATTAAACCTCTTAAAATGAGTGCGTAAATACCAAATCTGAGGCCAGCATGCAATACATATGAGAAGTTTAGATTATGACTTGTCTATAGGTACACAAGAAAAGTGTTTAAGTATCAGTGATGTTAGAATTAGGAACCTGGTCTTTTCCACCTGGAAGATGCTTTTTCCTGTCTTATATGGTGACTATTAGGTTGCATGTGCTTTGTGCCTGCTATTAAAGGTAGTGTGGGCTTTTATAGGGAAATGATTAAACAAGAGAAGACAAGAGAAACATCTTAGCATGCCCCAAACACTACCAGCAACACTGATTATTCCCAGGATAAAATTATCAGTGATGCTTTGGGTGTGGATTGATTTTGAACTAAATGGGAATAGGTTGAGTCATGAAGCAGCCTCATACGCTTTTTTATCTAAAGATCTCTAACATTAAGTGATTGTGGCCCAAGGGGGGACAATGAATGTTCATCTGCAAACTTTTAATGGACATTGTTTATTTTTTTTACAATAAATTCCATTTAAAAGATAAGTATGCATCAGCAGAGATCTACAAGAAGTTAAACACTTCTATTATTTCACCAAGCAAATGATCATGATATAAAATACTCCATTTAAACAGCACTTACAATGAAAATATCTGATACGTGTTAACTGACATGTGCTTATTTGCGTTTATTTCAGTTTTGGAAATCACCGTTCATGCCAATTTGGTGAGGAGAGAGTATTTTTCTGGCAAGCCTGGCCAATTCTAATACAAAGAGCATGTTCATGAAATACTGACTTGTGATGGGAATATGAAGGTTGTTAGTTCTTATTGGAGTGACAGCAGTAATAAGGAATAATAATTTTTTCCAGTTTATCCTAAACAATTTCCTATAACTATTTTATGCCACATCATCGTGGATTTGGTGATTTTCCACAGGTTGCATACATGAAGAAGTTAATGATGATCTTGATATTTTTTTTTTTGCATCCCCTTACCTGTGAAGCCAGATGCGTTTACTGCTACGGGCAGGTCAGAAGAGGACAAAAATGTTCACATTTGCAAAAGTTCATTAAAGGCTTGTCTAACATAAAGTCCCACTTCTGAGCTGATGTTGAACCATTTTTGCCATCATACAGAGAGGGGTGGGTTTAAATGGGGTAGTTAGATGAGTTTCAACATAAGCTAGCTAGAAGACAGTTCTTTTTTGGCATTTTCCTACTGTCTCTGTCTTTCTTTTTCTGTTCCTGCCCGTTCTTGGAAAAGAAAACTTCCTGTGATGAAAATCCTTTAAAATGAGGGGATAAGGTGCACTTCAGAAAACCTATTCGACTGTTACGTTTGTGCTTTCCTGCTGCAAAGAGGGTGCCTACCCAATGGCTTGGCTGTTCTGATCGTTCTGGGACGGGCAGGTGGCACTTGCTCTGACCTTAACTGAAAATTTCCATCTGGGTTAAAGAAACGTTTCTGATAAAACCTTGTTTGAAATCAGGATGTTTCAACAAAGCTTCAGTTTCTGTGAATTGCTATAAAAGGCTATATTTCTAATGAATTCCCAATCAGACCCTGCTTCAGTTAACTTTTCCTGGGGTGGTGTTCTGGTCCCCATGGGAAGGAGGATGGTGTCCCTGCTTGGAAGATGGTATTATGGCTCATCAACAGCATTCAACAAAATTCTCTTGTCGGTCTGAACGGAGCACGCAGGGGCTTGTTTCGTTGTTGGTAGGGGAAGGAGCATGTGAGGAGGCACGCACCACTGCAGCACAGGGTCAACCGACCGTGGGACCAGAGGCTGCAGAAACAGGTGGAACGACAGGGGTTTTCTGACCTCCACCGTCTCACAAAAGCTTCACTCAGCGGAGGAGCGTGGGGTGGAAGAAAATGTCACACTGGGCTTCATCCCGCACCCACCGAATTCTGCTATTGTGTTGGGTGGGAGCAGGATCCGTGCGCAAAGGGATCTGCCGCACAGCTTAAATGTCACCAGTCGTGTGGGAGTACTTCTCTCCAGCCGGCCCTTCTGAGGGATCATTGTGGGCAATGAAAGGGCAGGAAAGACTTTTCCAGAGCGTGTGGGTGGGGGAAAAGCAACCCTTCATGCTGGGAACGCATCAGATGTGCGGATAGCTCCGAAGTGTCTTTTC